GCCATTGGAAGGAGCCTGCTCACTTTTGTAAATGTTTTCTGAATGTCCAGGTGCTTTTGTACTTCCCTGGAGGTTGTAGAGGCAGCTTGGGAAGTAACTACATGGGATTGTGGCCACTGGCATCACCAGGCAAAAGATCAGAGTTCGGACGCCACTCCCTCTCTGAAATCCTGCTTCTTCCCTGATGGTGTAAGAAAACTTTCCTGCCCTGCACTGATATCAGTGGATGAAGTAGATAAGCATAGTTGGGTGGAGGTTCTTAAAATGTTTCCTTTGGACCACTTCCACTGAACCAGCTGGGGTATCCGTTACAAACCAGATTTCTAGCCTTTGCCCTAGATGCTGTGAATCAGATCAGGGGTGGGGCAGGCACTCCCATTTCAAAGAGGTCATTTTTTATACACATATATTTGGGAATCATTGCCCATGGGTACTTTTAATGTAGAAAAGTTAAGGTTTCATTTATTTTTAAAGTTCAGACTTCCACTCTATCAAGTTAATCAAGCACATCTTTTGCGCATAGCAAGATATAAAACATTTCTCAAACAGTGAGTTTTCCAAGATGTCTTTAACCATGCTCTTTTTTATGTGGTTGCTTCTGAGTTTGGTCATGCTTTTCTATCCTTTTGCGGCAATTTCTCAGCTTTAAAACTTCAATAACAATATTCTTTGTGCTACCAACCACTTTAGGTGCCATCAGGAGGCTTGCCTGTGCTTTGGAGTAACTTGGTGTTCCTGCTACTCCCTTGCCAGAGAACACCCTGGGAATTGATATGGCTGTGATTTCTAGTCTGGGTGACTTCTTGGTATTGCATGGGATTAAGTGTGTCAGGTCACTGTAATCCTTGAGAAGAGTACAGTACTGGATTAATTTGGGGTTTGGAGAGAGTGACATAATAAAAATGGTCACTGATTCTTTGAGAGGTGGGGTCTATACCCCTCCTCTTGAATCTAGGCAGGAGTGTGACAGCTTTGATAACTATGTATGGCACCAGTCATGCTGTGCCAGTGTCCTGGCCATGCCAGTTTCTATTTCCTTTTTTTATGGAACATGTTCTTTGGGAGGCAATGTGCAAAGGCTTCTGGCCAACATGCCAAGAATAAAAGTGAAATCATCATGAACCCTTCTGATCATCCCAGTCTCTGCTAAAAACAATAGAAGAACTCCAGTCAAAGCCTCATGGAGCATGCTGGGCATGGTGGCTCATTCCTGTAATCCCAACAGTTTGGAAGGCCAAGCCAAGAGGCCAGGAGTTCAAGACTAGCCTGGGAAACATAGTGAGACCTCATCTCTATTAAAAAAAAAAAAAAAGGCAAACAATGTAACCTAATTATCATACCCTTCTATCAATCTGAAATTAAAAAAAAAAATGGCCTTATGGAAAGGTGAACTGCTTAGCCAAGTCCTGACTGAATATCTGTGCCATAAAATCATGAGAGATAAGAAAAGAGTTGTTGTTTTAAGCCTCCAAGTTGGGAGGAAGTTTGTTAGGCAGGACAGATAAAGTGGAGGGAATGAGCTAACCTTGTTGCTGTATGAGCTAACTCTCATCTTTACTACGTATATGCGATTTTGTTGATTTTGTTTTTACCTCTGGAGAGAAAAACCCAGAAAATCAGCAGCAATATTGCTAACAACTACCCAGTGGAATAAAGGGCTGGCATAATACTTGCTGGAAGAACATAAAAATGCATAACCTGAGTAAAACATATGCTTTACCTAATGAACTCAGAGCAGTTTCAGGACTTTTCCTCATTTATTACCAAATAAACTTCCTGCTATTTAGGAGGTGAATGGATATAAATTGAAATGAATATGTAAGAAAGGAAACAGACACTAAGATATTAAATGAGTTGCTTAAACTCTTTCCATCGTGGGTCAGTAACATGTTCATGTATAGAACTAAATCCCATAGACCGGCAGCCTTGAAACTTCTCTGACTGTGATTCACAGCAATAAATATATTTACCTGTGCCTGGTACACATACACATATAACTCTTCACAACTTAACCAGCCCTTCATGCCTTCATTATCATATCCAATGGACTATAAGAGTGTTCTGTTGTTTTGTTTCTAAAAACACTAGCCAAACATACTAAATAAACGTCATGACCTATTAATGGGTTATAATCTACAGAATGGAAAACGCTGTCCTAGATACTCAGTTTCATCAGGCAAGGTATGTGTAGAGGTCTGAGAAATTACTGGTATATAGTAGGTGCTCAAGAATTGAATGAAGGAATGAATTTTATGAATGAATGAATTTCATGATAATAGTTCCAGTTTGTTAAAATGGGAAGGATTTTAACTGTAAGTCAGAAAATCCAGGATTAACTCCTGACTCTGATGATATAAAAATCATCGTATATCCTTCAAAAGTAACTTAAATTCTCAATTTTCTTACCTACAAAATAGAACTTGTGGTATTTGGTACTCATGAAGACAACATGAGTTCATAAACATAAAACTATTTTGTTTTAATTTTATTTTTGTGTTTTTGTTTTTATGTCACCCTGGGTAGTGTGCTGTAGCATCACAGCTCACAGCAACCTCAGACTCTTAAGCTCAAGTGATTCTCTTGTTTTAGCCTCCCAAGTAACTAGGACTACAGGTACCCACCACAATGCTCAGCTATTTTTTGGTTGTAGTTGTCATTGCTGTTTGGCAGGCCTGGGCTGGGTTTGTGTATGTGGCTAGCGCCCTAGTCACTGAGCTACAGGTGCTGAGCCCATAAAACTATTTTGATTGAAAGATATACAATTATAAATAAAAGGTGAATGTATTTGTTACAAATGTACTTTAAAATGACTCGAGACTATATAAATTCTTCACTTTACTCCATAATACCACTTCATTGATTTGGACTTATTAGGGTAATATTGCTGAAACAATGAGATCTGAATTTAGATCATTTTTAAAAAAGAAAATTTATTTAAAATTTCATCGAGTAACAAAATAGTCCAAAAATGTTGGGTTGGGCAGACATCTACCTCAAAAGTACTAATTGGGTCACTAACAGATTAGCGTGCTGAGCAACACATAAAGGGGTCCATTGTAGTCCTAGGACATGGTTTGTGTGTAAATGGATATTTCTAAATTTGACAAGAGACTTGATTAGAGAAAGTTCCTTTGTTAACTCTTCAGGAATTTATTGAATCCCAATATATGTATTAGGAAATACGCCATTTCTAAATTATTGAGGCCTGGATATATGAGACTTTGAACAATTGTCTGTGGAAGACTTAGGGACTTCACTCAATTGTTCCAGTAACACAGAGCTTAGAGCTATCAAGGACATGTTATTGTCCAGAGGTAAGTCACTGCATAGACCAGGTAACCTTCCCTTCATTCTCCCTGTAAAGCCTACCAAGTACTTAGCAACCTGAGAACTTTCCCAGCTTGTTTTCTGGGAGAGATAGCATGATACGGTGGTTAGATACACTGGCTTCGAAATCAGAGAAACTGACTTCTAAATTCTGGTTCTACCACCCACCTTGGGGGGGTTTCTTTACCTGAAAGGTTTGTGCATGTAAGATACAGCACACACATGCGTGAACGTGCACAACGCCCAGCAAATTGAAAATAATAAATGATAGTTCTTGTTAGCTGTTATTATTGTTGTTTTTACTAGTTATGCCAGTTTGTTTTTGTCTGGGCTAGCTAGCTGTTACAAATGATCTGCTAAAGAGATCTAAAGAGATCTATATACTGGAGAAATAAACATGTTTCCCTAAGATCCAAGAAAAACTGTTTCATAGGTTTTATCATGCCCCGAGGCTCAACCTTTGTGACACCTGGGAATTTAGATGAGACATAGTAACGTCCCCACTAGCAGAGCCCAGCCCACTGAGGAGTGGTTTGAGCAGCATACCCCTGAACACATGCTATCAGTCTGTCAGTCTTCTGTTTGCTGGGGGAAGGGCTGCCCTGTTAAATTCAGTACTTAGTTGGAGAAATCAGGGCACAAATGCGATTGCGCACCCTGTGATGCTGAGCTATTTTGAAGTATCCTTTCTAATCTACTGGAGGCAAAATTGTGAAGTAGTCATTTGTCTCTGTCACTTCTCATGCACCCCCCCAACCCCAGCTCCAGTCCCTTTCTCCCCACTCGTCCTGTGTCAGTAAATTTCTACTGCTCCATACCACAAATTAGCTGAAAATGGCTTAAAAGGTTGTCCCTTTCAGGTACATTTGTGCTTTAGAGAACTCTAAAGAATTAAATGGATGATTCTCTAAGGGTAATGCTTCAGACATTTGTAGGCCAGCAGGAGAGAGAACTGGGGAGCTGTGCTGGCATCCTCCAGTTCACACTGCCCTCTCAGCTGGTCTCAGCTGAAAAAACATTGTGTCGTTGAAGTATGAGGACGATCTAGTGTTTTCCAAAGTGTGTGTGCCACAAGATGTTAGCTGGCTTTACTGTGGTCAAATACTTCCAAGAAACTCTGTGAATAACAAAATTAAACAGGTTTCATTGCTGTAGAGATTCTCAAAACCTCTAAGATACTCATGTTAAAGGAAGTGCTTTAAACTTCCGAGGGAATATTCAGGATGCAGCATTTTTTCATCTTATTTGATTATCTTCCCCTTTTAATTTTTCACAAAGCACCTTCAGCATCTGCACGACATAGAGTATACTTTATAACATACTAATGTAGCCCAGTCCTCTAGTCCAATGAGTAAACTGAGGCAGGGAGCCATAAAGTGCCTTGTTCTAGGTTACCTACTAAACTGGCTATAGAACAGGACTAGAGACAGGTTACCTAATTCCACAACATGGTCAAAAATCCCAATTATGGATTTAATATCTTCCCTGCCTTCTAGACCATATGTGCTGCCCCAAAAGAAACTTCAACTCCTTGGCTTCTCCCTGTATGCACGGCACCTAGCGTAGTACCTGACAGCACAGCTAAATCAGTTCTTATTACAGCTCAGATTGTTGCCTGTTCCTACACCCAGTGCTGTGTGTACAGAAGAGTCAGCGTTGAGCTCTATACTTACACTGAGAATACGTGGTCCCAGTTCCACTGACGCTGAACCTGTTGAGGTGCAGTCTGTGTGTGACCACATTCTTCTGGGGTTGGAACAGGACAATGTGCACCTTGGGTGCAAACAAACAGCCCAAGACCACGAAGCCGCTCAGGCTGACAGAGATGCACATGGTGGTTGTCTGCACCTACAAGAGAAGGTCGCCTAGTAAGTGTGCAGCTAGAAACCCAATCAGATGGCCAACGAAAGCAAGCACTAAAACAAGACCAAGTGAGAAACCCAGAATCATCCCTAGATCTGTTCTTATCACAGCCAAATCAATACAGTAATTATATCAGATCTTCTGTGTTTGGGATATTCAGGGAAACATTGCTTAGGATTTGTAAGCAAACACCATTTGCGCGGGGTTGTCCTGAATGCTTGCCAAGACTTCACAGGGAATTTTTGTTTTGTTTTCTTTATATTTTCATGAAGATATTTCTGCAGATCCACTGAAATTGGAACCTTAATTAGTAAAACGTAAATACTGACTGGTGAAGTGGCCAGCTTGCTGATGGTTTCTGTTACTGAATGAGGCTTGCTTAGGGTTCACTGTGGTATGAACAAGTCTGGGTCTTTTCCATCTCTCTCTTTCTGGGTGCTCTGCCCAGAGCTACTAGCTTGCCCCCTCAGTCTTGGGGGACACCATCAACTTCCTTCTCTGTCACCTTTTCTTTTACTTATTTTGTTGGGATCTCTCTGGGATCTGGGTACACTAGGAACTCAGCGTTCTATGTTGTGTTTCCCAGGCTTCTGCACACCCATCCTTGGCAGAGAATTTCCACTTTCTCCCTCTGCATCCCCTGAAAATTCTGAAACCCTCAGAACTAGGGTTTATCAGATTCCCTCATAAGCTATCTTCTCTGATCCCATCATTTGTACTGGCTTCAGTTCTCATAAATTTTCTGGAAGAGTCCACATATTTTATCACTTTCAGTCTTAAAAAATGGAAATTATTTATTTCTTCTATCTTTTTTGTGAACATTTACCATAGATACTCAGAGGCTCCTTGGAATCTGAGAGGAACTTTAGATGTTTTTTCTGTCCCCTCTCCCCCAGGCAAATGCTGTTACAAAACAGCATAATTTCTAATGCTCTAAATGACTTTGGGCATCTATAAAACATTGCTATAAAGTCTCTGTCTTGCTCTCTAATCAAGGAAAGGTGAAGACTGAATAAATTAACTGGAGGAGCCATACAACTTTAGAAGGCTTTATTTTGTATTTGTTTAAAAAAAAAATCCAGACTATACTGTGGCATAAGTCTTTGGATCTTGAGTTACTCTAAGTGATGAAAGCATAACCCATTCTCACCATTTTAAAATTCTTTTCTCCTTTAACCACTCTTGAGGTCCATCTTGAGGTCCCTAATTAATAGGCTCCTTTCTTTTTTTTTGAGACAGAGCCTAGGTAGAGTGCTGTGGCATCACACCTCACAGCAACCTCCAACTCCTGGGCTCAACTCTCACCTCCGCCTCCCAAGTAGCTGGGACCACAGGTGCCCACCACAACATCTGGCTATTTTTTGGTAGCAGCCATCATTGTTGTTTGGTGGGCCCGGGCTGGATTCAAACCCACCATCTTAGGTGTATGTGGCTGGCACCTTAGCCACTTGAGCCACAGGCGCCGAGCCAGGCTCCTTTCTTGTTTGTGAACATCCGAGAAAAGAGGGGACTATCTAATTACATGAGGTAAAAGCCTTGATACATCTGTAGATATTTTTTACATATATGTGTCATATGATGTTAGAATTGTACTTTTCTTGTCTCAGTCTCTGCCTCAGATGCCAACATGAAAGATATCAGATATGGAGGGGTTGAGACAAATCCAAAGGTACAAAAATTTTCAAAGATACCCTTTCTAAGAACTTGTGATGCTTGAAACTCCTTACGCATGTTAAGACGTTATAAGAAGAGGAGCGAGGAGAGGATTGGGAGGAGAATATCTTGAGTTCTGTCTCCTCACTTAAAGGCTAGTGAGGACAGTTGCAGTGTGGCCACTTACAGAAAGTTTGAGGTGTTTCTCTAGGAAGAGGATGCCCTGGATTGGGGTCTAACTCATGTCTTAGAAATCTGCAAGGTGAGAAAAGGCTAGCTGCTTTAGTGGCATGTCACAGAAACTTGCTACTGTCCTGAGGTAGTCCTTTACTCCAAATATGTATCACAGAGAAAGATCTGACTGTGTGCATGGACAAGATGGACCACATGAAAGCCAGCATGGGTATTCTTGGTCCTGGGTGGAGAAGTCTGGAGACCTAGAGAAGGGAGAAAACGTCTGGAGCGGGGTACAGCTGGAGGTCCTGGGAATGAGCTGGAGGCACCAGAGAGAATGCCAGCCACTCACTCCCAGAGGGGAACTAGCAAAAATCTCACAAAAACATCTGTCAGTCACCTGAAGGGTGTATCTTTAACCACTTACAGGCTTAGAGGTCACAGAGCCATCCTGCCTCAAAGAACTGTCCTCCTTCTTCATCACCACTTTAGTCAGGGCTGAGAGGGACAGCGCCTGGGTGGACTGAGGAGCGTGAGCATGGAGGAAGGAGAAGCCAGCCACTGCCGACCCCAGTCCGAGGCTGGCCAGGCGTCAGGAGGAAACGAGGTTGAATGTTACAGCAGTTCTGATGATTGCACAGCAGTAGCCACTTCAATTTCTTAATAGAGATAATTTTCAATTGATATATACTTAGGACCTTATGTTAACTGAGAGTGTGCAAGTCCCCGGGCCTCCCAAGGTTATGAGCATTTATGTTCTTTGCTCCATCCCCAGCACCAGGATGGGGCCTCACAAATGGTGAACACTCAGGGTTTGAATGTGTCCCTTTGAATTTCCATCCAGGGGTTGGGGGAGGGTGATTATCTTCATGGAATAGTAAAGGGGACGTAGAACTAAAGTTGCATTTTTATGATAGTTCATGCACCACATTTATTCATTATACCGGTTATAAATTTGAAACCTTTTAGCTTTTTTTTTTTTTTTTTTTTTTTTTAACAAGGCCCAAGTATCAGCCTCAGAGTTTGGGTCGTCTGGTTCCTTCAGTAAGTCACACTATGAAAAGTCTACGAGAATTCTGTGTTCTGTCTCTCTGTACACTACCAGTTCATGCTGCTCTGTTTTCATCTTCCTGATGAACATCTGACACACGCCCTTCCTTTGGCCTCCTGGTCACGCCTGTCCCTCAGTGGTGGCTCCTTCTCCTAGTCATCTATTCTGTATGATGTAAGTGCTAGAGTGTCCCAGGCCTCTGTTTTATACCCTCTTCTCTTCAAGATCCCATTGAATTCCATGACTTAAATGCCTCCTGTATTCGACAATGTCCAAATATTTATCGCTAGTTTTCACCTACCCTATGGGTTTATATGTACCAGAATGTTTATGCAGCCCAATTCATAATTGCTAAGTCATGGAAGAAGCCCAAGTGCCCATTGACCCATGAATGGATTAATAAATTGTGGTATATGTACACCATGGAATATTATGCAGCCTTATAGAAAGATGGAGACTTTACCTCTTACGTGTTTACATGGATGGAGCTGGAACATATTCTTCTTAGCAAAGTATCTCAAGAATGGAAGAAAAATAACCCAATGTACTCAGTCTTACTATGAACCCAATTATAGCCCAAGAAGAAGGAGAAAGGGGAGAGGAGATGGGAATGGGTGGAGGGAGCGTAGTTGGTGGGACCACATCTACAGTGCATCTTACAAGGGTACAAGTGAAATTTACTAGGTGTAGAATATAAATGTCTTAACACAATAACTAAGAAAATGCTGTGAAGGCTATGTTGACCAGTTTGATGAAAGCATTTCAGATTGTGTGTAAAACTAGCACATTGTACCCCATGATTGCATTAATGTACACAGCTATGATTTAATAAAAAAATTCACCTTATTCTTTTGGATGTGAAATAGGAATATTATAATTAATATGTAAACAGAAGCTGATTGTTTTCTCCAAGTGTCCTTGTTTGAGTGACGCCAAATTGTGCAAAGCAAAAACCTGGAAGCTATCCTTGATTTTGCTATTGCCCTTATACCCACACATTCAGTCCAGCAGCAAGTTCCGCTGGTTCTGCTGGAAGATAATTCCCTACAAGTCTCTCATGTTATCTTGTGAGCAAGGCCCTAGCTGCCTTTGTTCTAGGCTGTCTTTTTAAGGATATATGTAGAGCAAAGAGCTTCAGAAGATAGGGCCTACCTTTCCAGCAAAGGGGCAGCATGCCATCCATCATAAAAGATTCATGTTTCCTCATCTCAGAGTTCCTCTCATATGAGGCAACCCACTGACTGTGCAGGAGTCACCTGGCCCACTTTGTGTCGCCCTGCAGAAAAGGCACCCAGGGGAACTGTGTGAGTGCTGACACTCCAACTATTGCTGTAGCTGTGACTCACAAAGTCCTTTTTGTCTGCATCAGACAAACTGTGGCAGGCTAACTTGTTACCTTATGAGTAGAGTAAAATTCCAGACACTACAGTCTGACAGTTTTGGCAGTGAGGATGAAATGCCAACAGAGACACGGCTTTTTCAGACAGGAAATATGAGGGCCTCAAGGGCGGATTAACAAGATTTGAGAGAAATCCGTGGAAATGAGTAGCAAACATGTTGACTAAATTATATGGTTAACCAGAAATAAATAGTGCTCCACTGTATTGCCTATAAATGTGGAGGCTGTAGGGAGGAGGTCAAAGGCTGAGTAAAAAGGAAGTTGGTGCAAAGAGAGCTGCTGGACCAATGCCCTGACTGTTGCCCACTGCCCTCTGGGGGTAATCTGGGGCAGATTTCCTCCACAATTGGATTCAGATCCACCTGACTGTAACAACTACTACTAAAATTTATCCTGGGTGGGCAGAAAGTTATGCTTCGTTCATACGGAAGTCTCAGAGACATTTGCTGCACTGACCATGGGAAGACTTTCCGAGAAGGCAGAAACCAGGAGAATCCTTTGAACTGGCTGGTTCCCTTGGGATGCTGGGAGGGGGTGAGATGGTCAGAACACATAATGGTTGTGAAAGAAGATGACAACAGCTGGCCCTTCTTAGGGCTCATTCCCCTGCTGTAGTCTCTTATGCCAAATTTAGATCCATTCCAAGGTGACAGTCAAAGGTCTCAGAGTTTTTTTGCAGCAGAACCTGGCTACAAAAAGGAGTTTTGG